AGTACACAGTTTGATAACCGGACTTCACGTCGGTCGCGTACTGTTTTCGGGCCGCTTGGACTTCAGGATCGTTGGGGTCTCCCCTGGGAGGCCCCCTGAATTGAGTCTTATTTTGTTTGTCGAAAAATTTATTCTTCCTTTTTTCGTCGGTTCCCGCCTTAGAGGACTTCGAGTTAAAGTTGAAATCGGGAACCGACATGGCTTCTTCCGCTATGATATGCTGCTGGGCTCGAGCGAGAAATTCTTGAAAAGTATTCGGTTTATTTTGGCATAGCGTCCAGCGGAAAATCGAATTTGGCTTCAATCCAGCAATAGCCATAACAAGCAAAGTTTAGGGATGACAAGGTTCCATATTCTGAACTCGGTCATTGAAACGGGCAATATAATCTTTAACGCTTTCATCATCTTTTTGAGTGATATTGGCAAGAGACTCTTTCGGGATAAGGCATACTTGGGCCCCGATAAAATGAGATCGGAAAGCCGACCTTAATTGTTGCCACTTCCAGATTGAATGAGGAGGAAGAGAATGGTACCATTTTTGGGCCCGAGGCCCCAGTGTTAGTGAAAACATTCGACACCGGAGTGCGTCTGAGGCCCCATGCAGATCCATCCATGAAGTGTAATGACCGAGGTGTGAGTCCGGGTCAGATGTTCCATCATATAGCCCGATCTGGGGAACCTTAATTTTTCCAGGAACTGGTTCCGAAGTGAGTTCCGGAGTAAGGGGAGAATCGGCTTCCAAATACACTTGTGCCGAGGTAGAGGCCCGCCGAGGTGGATCTTCAGGTGCCCGTTGCCGACTTTCCAATTCGGCTATTCGTCGTCGCAGTGTTTCGAGTTCGGACGACTCTTGACGAGCCCGATTACGTTCAATATGCTGTCGGAGGTCGGTTTGCGCCGGATTGGAAGGATGTCGGTGCTGCGCACGAGGCGGTGACCGTCGTAAATGACCCGACTGGCTTTCGGCAGTTTCTTCTTGAGGAAGCATAGGAGGATTACGCCCGGCGTCAGTGCGTCGTGTATTTTGTTCCGGAGGCGGTTGTGACATTCGATCACGAGGTTGAGATGTAGCATGAGATGTTGTCCTTCCGCCGTCTTGTCGCGCCGGTGGATTCTGTCGGTTCGCGGGGGTTGTGGGAATGATGGAGTGTCCCGGAGCAGTTATCGATGTTCCCGGCATCGTTTGGGCCATTAAAGCGGCAAAACCACGCGCAAATTCCAGATTTCGAAACAGAACAGCATAATCCGGGACATGTGGAGCCACGGCTTGTCGTCTGGCGGATTGCGCGGCGCTACGACTGTGGCCGTCTCGCGACGTGTGACCACGAGGATCTGAGTGAGACATGGTGGATATGGCTGGTATGAACCGTTACGTGAAAAAGCGGAGATTAACCTCAAATCACTTATGAGGCCCTTCCTCTAGCGCCAAACTGTTGTTATATGATTTTTAACAACGATCTAATATGTTATTAAGATGAGAGTTATGAATGATTTGGACGTAAAGCATGTAAGATTCACTCAATAATGGCCCCGGTCCGAGGTGAACCGAGGTGAAGAGCCGTGATGGGCTTTTGCGTGTTGCTTAATAAAGTTTTCTGAGTTCGGAGAGAGATCCCCGTACAAATGTCATGGGTCCGCTATTTATAGTAATTTCGGGTTGATACATTAGGATCTGTGCACTACTTTTTGAATAAAGTGACTTTTTGTGGGCGGTTTTGAGGCAGGGGGTCCCACATAAATGATGACGGATCTTGTGGAGTAGGATGGTTGTACGTAGGCACCTTGTCACCTGCTTAAGGAGGTGACGATCTCGGTTTATGTTGACCTCGGTAGATGCTGACCACTTCGGTCTTCGGTAGTTCGGTCCGGTTCGTCGCCTGAGCCGGGGTGGAGTAAATCACGTCGGTTCAATGATCATCTTCTTCTTAATGAGACGTTTGGAATCTCTTAACGTGAGACGTTTGGAATCTCTTAACGTAGGTTTACCGATCCAGATGATAACAGAATTCACATCAGTTGCATTTTTATTATGTAAGAAGTCATAATAAATAAACAATTTAGAAAAAACTATAAAATAAATTTAATTCATAATTTTTTAACTAAAGATTATATAATATAGAATAAAATTCGAATTACATAAGGTAAATAGCTTAAAAGTTTATTTCTTTTTAATTGTGAATATTTATTATTTTTCTTTAAATATATGATTATGTAAATAAAATAAAACACTTTATTCTTAAATTTAGTATTTTATGAAATGTGTACCTTGAGATATTAGAGACTTATATATGTGATTAGTATTATCATAATAAATCAATCAATAATTACCTAAATTGTACCTTTAAAACATACCATAAAATGTTTAAATAATTTCTATTTTTTTTTTTTTTTTTTGCGGGAAATAGTTACTATTTTAACATCACTAATGTGGCATGCACACATTGGTGATGTTAATATGTTCAAACAAATACATCACCAATGAGATAATGCCGCATAAGCGGTGGACATATTAACATGTGCCCACCGTGGGTAGGTGAGCATTACTGTCTATAGATAATACAAATAATCTATATATCTATATATAATAAGAATATTCATTTACTAAAAATAGTAATAAAAAATTTTAGGAACATTTAGTGTATACCTTTTCTTTGGAAAATTTTTAAATATAGGCATTAATTGTTTCTATATACACGTTTCAAATAAAATAAAATCAAATATGCTCAAAAATATTGTTTTCTTAAATAATTGTATTAATATCTGCAATAATTTTATTGGTATCTATTATAAATTACAAAATTGATCTTCCGTAATTCATGTTGATAATATTTTGGTCAAAATAAATATTACAACATATTTTAAGTTCTAACCATAATATTTTTTTTTCATAAAGATTCACTTTTCATCAAAAAAATATTTATAGAAAATCGTAAGAGGTTAGGTAATTTTTTTATCAGCTAGGTACTTAGACAGTGGCGGGAGTGGCGTTCAAGACTTCGGGTCAAGTTGTGGGGATGGTCAACCTTTGTCTGCTGGTGCCTTGTGCCGGGCTTGGTTAGTCTGCTAGGAAAGGGCTAGTTTCTTTTGTTTGGTGTTTTATTGTTTTTGTTTTTGTTGATAATTTGTTTGTAAGGTGTCGTTTGTGTTTGTGTTGTTTAGGCTCGTAATTTTGGTTTGGGTTGTTGGCCCCTGTGAGCTCGAGTGTGAAATAATTATCCTAATGTGACCGTACACTCGGGCATTACCTTGTTGGGGTCGTTTTTTCTTTTCTTTTCCCATACTCCTCTGGGGAGCTTTTAGTGTTGTTGTGTTTTGTGTTGCTAGAGTATTACCCTGTTAGGGTCGGTTCTAGGCAGTCTTTCGACCTGTCCTCACAGTTTATTCAGCTGTTGGCTGTACTTTTGCATATTTGTGCCATTTTATATAATATCTCTATCGTTTCGAAAAAAAGAAACGTGCATTAAATATTTTTCATTACATAAAATAAAAGAAAAAAATGACGTACAATGTCAATAAATTTTATAAATAATAATGATATTATATGTCAACAAAGTTTATAATAAAATAGTAATTAAGTGTTATATGGTGAACAAAAATAAGTAAAACTGTTATTTTCTCTTATATGGAATAAATATATTTACTAAAATAAAATTATATCTATATATAAATATAAAGAAACAACCTATTACCAAAAATAGTAACAAGAAAAGTCAACAATCATTTATTGCATTTTATTTTTGCCGTTTTTATTTTTTTATTTCTTTAAATTATTCCTAAAAATCAATCAGCTATACATGCACCCTAAATTAATGGCTTTTGTGGATTTAATTTAGGTAAACTTCTACTGATGCTTACAATTTTGCAAAAGTCAAAATTTTTTCTTCATTTTTTATCTAAAAAAAAGCTGACTAGCCTTATTTGGTTGATCTAAGTTCATGCAATTTCTTATTTATTATTATTCATAAAATCTGAAATTTCGAATTAGGCAAAATACTATCACATATATCTTTTACTAATTGCAACAGATTTATTGTTTATCAAAAAAATCAGATTGTATTGAAATTGGGTTAAATTATGTAAAATTCGACATGACAATTTTGTAAAAGTGAAAATTCTCTCATTATTTATTAAAAAAAAAACATGTTAACCATAAAATCGGAAATTTCAAATTAGGCAAAATACTATAACATGTATGTTTACCTAATTGCAGTAGGTCATATTTATAAATATAAAAAAAAATCGGATTGCATAGAAATCGAGCTTAATTTCAAATTGAAAATTAAAATTTAAAAATTCCTTCTCATTTGGCTATTAGTTTCTTTAGTTTGGGTTTCTTTTTAAACATAAAATAGAGTGAGATAATATTAATTTGCAATTCAAAATGAAATCCAAAAAATTTGGATTTTTTTAATCCTCTAAAATACAAAAACAAAATCCAAATTTGAAAGTGTTAGCATACACTTACAAAATAAATAATGATTGCATGCACTTACAGAATATCATATATATCCTACTAAATAAATAATTAATTTATTTAAGCCTATCTCGAATCCTAATATAATTTGTGGTGATAGACGATCATGTACCAAAAGACCAAACAAGTAATGTTGTGTACAATGATGTGTTTAATAATATATAAGTTACATTTTATTTCAATACATGCGTTTTACGTTTTTCCAATCATTCAATCATCCAAATATAGATGTTTACTTTAATAAAACTAGCTCGTGCATCACACGGGTACCGCACTAGTTAGCATAAATGTGTTAGTGAGATAATATATTAATTGGTTTACAAGTTAGCCCTATCATGCTCATATTTAATATTATGGCTAAAAAAACAACGCTGATTAATAGAGGTGAAATATAGA